ATTGGTCCACCGTGTAAGGATGCCTGTGAACATATTTTATTATAAATATCCACAATGTTATATTTAGCAGTATTAATGTTGTAAAGATTCTTTGATTTACACTTAAGTATAAATCCTTTGTCTTGGGTCAGTATAATTGGGTTCTCTAAACTTAGACAATAATTCAGGATCATTTCATCATTGTTCTTGGGAATAATTGGTTCTTGTTTGGCATAATCAACCTCTATAAATCTATCATCTTGACGTCCCTCGATTTCAATGTTCATATTATCAGAATTTTCATAGAGAAATTCTATAGCTCTACGTGCATCAATTTTTTCATTCTTAAGGTTATCCAACTCACTTATAACAATCTTACTTATACATATCTTCAATATAAAATCAAGTTCATTTTCTACTAAGGCTGATAAGAATGTCAAATTGTCTATAAATATATTTGTGTCTGGAACTAAACTTAGTCTTATCATTGAATTATTTGGGTTTAAAAAGAATAATTTTATAAAATTTAAATCAAAGACAGAGTTTTATTTTACATTAACAAATTAACTTTAATAAATTTTTCAGAGAATTTTTTAGTAGAAATAAATTCTCTTATGAAATTGTATTTGTATGAAGGAGAAGTTTATAAGGTTAAGAATATTGATTTTGATTTTTTAGAAATAAAAACAGATAAAATTATACGTTTAAATAAAGTTGAATTGATAAGAGTTCCTAATTTTACTGAACCAAACAAATTAAATCTTCTTATTATAAATTATTATAAAATATACGATAAAAAGTTAGTTGATGTAGAACTTAAGTATGATGAATTTAGTGAGCTTGTTGTTCAAAAAACAAAAAGAGTTCTTTCAGAAGTTTTTTACGTAAAGAAGTCATTTGAAGTAAAATTAGTTAAAGAAAAGGAATTTGAAAAGTTTTATTGTTATAAAATAATAAACTTTACTTCCGAACCTTATTGGGTCGAATCCTCATACAAGACAATTAATTACAAGGAACACACTTTAATTAACAAAAAAGAAATTATAATAAGAATTAGAACAGAAAATATATTTTATGATTTTGATTTGAGAGTTTTTTAAATCTTTATTCAATAAATTTTTAATCCCTTAATAAATGGACAAACTCAAGGAATCAAGTGTGTTAAATTCACTTTTCTTCAATCTTTTAGGTTTTAATACACCTGTAGTGTATGTTGAAAATAATATGAGAGATGATGTTGATTTCCTTCAAAAAGAGGTCAAAGTATCTTTATCTGACCAGTTTGAGACCACAGTTAAACCATTTCAATTTCTAATTACAAAAATTAGAGAATTCTATGATTTTGATATGTTCAATCCTTTTATTAGTGCTTATTTTAAAAAGATTGTTGTTCTTAAAGAATCAGTTAGTTCAATAGAAGAATTATATATTCATTTGCAGGAGGATATTGAAATTTTCAAAGAATTAAATAAGATTAAACATTATTTAAGACAAAACAATTCCGACATATACATATCACACACTAATCTTTTTAGATTAGAATCAGTTGAAAAGTCTGATTTTCAAGATTATAATTTTGATTCAAAGTATATTTCTGAATTTTTAATTGACGTTTCCAGAACATCAAATGTTTATTTACATTTTTGGAATAAAAATAAGAATGCATTATCAAAGCATTTGTTTGATTGGATTAACTATGCTAAGAAATCACCATTAATACAAGAACAGGAATATAATGAATTTTCTAAATGTTATTGGGATGATTTGTTTGTTTTTAATAGTAAATCAATACCAAATGAAGATGTGGAAGAAATATTAACATGCGGTAAAATAGTTAATATAATAAGAGTCTTATTTGAAATTGAAATAGTAACTAATACTGATAATCCATTTGATAGTGGGTTTTTAAGTAATAAAAACATTGAAATTATAAAATACAACAGAATAGTTAGTTATAATGATTTTTTCTTAAGGCCTATTGATTATGACAAGTTTACAATAAGAGGTAGAAGATATGATTTAGAAATGAGATTTGCTGCTTTATACTCTGAAAAAATTGAAAGAGAGATCAATATTTTGTATGATGTTCTGTTTCTAAGATCATATTTACTTTATAAGGATATATTTGATCAGATTACTAATAGTGAATTTATGGATCAAAAAAAGTTTAGAGAATTAATCAAAGGATTCTCTAATTCTAATTTATATTCTTTTAATTCACAAGTAAGTTCACTTTCAGTTTATTTACTTAAACTTTTAAACTGTCAAAATAAAACACCTACTGATGAGTTATTTAAAAATCCTATTGAAGGATTAGCAGTTGATTTTCATCCTAAATATCTACGTTACTTTATTTCACCAAAAATATTTACAGAGCTTGGAATAATAAACAGGTTCCTTGTAAATATCTTCTTTGTTTCACAGAAACTCGAAGATTACCTTTTAAATGACACATCTGTTAAATCATTCTCAAAACTTGTTTATTTATTGTTAAATCAAATTAAATCAACTGAAATTACAAGAATTAACTTTACAGACATCTTAGAATTTCAACCCAAACTGAAATTACAAATTAAAAAATTACTTAATTCATATTATCTCACCAATTCAGAAATTTTCCAGGAGTGGGCTAAATTATTTTCCATATCATTTCAATATATTGAACTTAAAGAATCTAATCAAGTTGTCAATGAAGAAGAGTATTATAATAAAGCCATGCATATTATTAAAGATATTGACATTTTAATAGAGAAGTATGGAGATGATAATTTTATAGATTTTCTTAAAAAATAAAATTTAATCATTTAATGCCTTGTTAAATAAAGTCTCAAATCTCTTAATAACTTGATCTTCATTCAACTGATAATCAATTTTAAGTTTTGAAAACCCATTAGTTAGTAAATATTCTCTAAGTTTATAATCACTTTCTTTGTTCCAGTATTTCGGCATATTAATTTTCTTGATAGTAGGAATTTCATTTAATTGAGTTAACTTGTCAAAAAATTGAATTCTTTCATAACAGTTGTATTCAATAGAATCTTTTTTAGGTTTCTTTGATGATTGAGAAATTTTATTAACAATTTCTCGAATACCATCTGGTTGTTTACCAATAAATTCTATAATAGAATCTTTGTTGAGTTCAGTAACTCTTCCAAAGTTAATAATTGCCTTAAAGTAGAGATTATCATTTTCCTCGGTGTTGATCTTTCTATACAAAACAGTAATAATTTTTCTTACTCTCTGCATTACTTCGTCTGCAGATTTAGTCTTAATTGTAAAGTTATTATATCCCAATTTGGTAATTTTATCAACAATGTCT